CTACAAGTGTGTTCTACAGCACCTAGTTTACTCTCTTTCTTAATCCAGTGACGCTGCCAATCACCAGCTGTTTGGCAGTACTCCGGGCCACTTCTATTGGATACCTGTTGATACTACCCCATGTGTCAAAGCCAAAAATGTCAACACATTGTCACATAGATCCTAAGGCAAAACTATCGTCGCTTGAGAACTATCGATCATCTAAACAGCATCAGCACAGTTTTGTTTGCAAACTGCTTTTAAAAGATGTGAAACTGTGGATACAGACAAATACCTAGTTCTGGGCTACATAATCTAAGGGAAAGTAAAGGAGCTAGAAGAGACTGCTCTTCATGACGGTGACTGTGTGTGAAGATAAGAGAACTAACTGGCTTTGGAGTCTAGAGACCCGGGTTCTCCTCTGCTCCATTACAGACTAATAGGATCAAGAGCAAACCCATTGACTTGTCAGCAGTCTACTTTCAGGGAAAAACTGTGAAAGAGCTTCCTTACATACTTCCATACTGATACTATTGCTGAAGGGCAATTACAATGAATACTGTGGATTAGTGTACTTAGATTTCCCCCATTTTCCTGCCAAAGTGTGCTCTGTGGTTATGGCACTGGTACCAACTGAGAATCTGTTAGGAGAGGCCAAGTGTGTGAGACCTTACTTCAGATTAGCTGCATCAAAATCCTTGTTAGCAAATACTTAATGATGGCACTGGTACCAACTGAGAATCTGTTAGGAGAGGCCAAGTGTGTGAGACCTTACTTCAGATTAGCTGCATCAAAATCCTTGTTAGCAAATACTTAATGCCGAGTTCGAGGGTGCCTCTCCAGGGCACCTTCAGCCCAGACTAACTGTTAACCATTGTCGTGGAATAATAAGGATCAGGGGAAACAGATAGGCTGAATAGATGTTTATTCGGGGGGAAATAACTTACAACAGAGACAGATGAACGCCAGCAGGTTCCAGTCCTAAGAATATTTTCTTTAAATCTTACTAAATGCTAATGGACTAAATATTGTTAACTATAATTCTTATTTGATAACTGTTTTGTTATATATTTTACTATGTTATAGTTAAAACCCTTCTATTTATTTTAGACAGAAAAGAGATGATGGAAGATGTCATTCTGTAAATATGTTTCTCTTATTAGTTAACGAATAAAGCACTGTTGGTAAATAGGAAGGCAAGATAGGCAGGACTAGGAGACAAGGAGGATTCTGGGAGATGTGGTAGGAGAGTCAAGATGTAGGGACTTGAGAGAAGAAGGTCCAGACTCTCTCTCCAGTAGGATAGGACCACATGGAAACACTTAGATTAATAGAAATGGGTTAATATTTAAGACAGAGCTAGCCAATAAGAAACACTAGTAACAGGCCAACAGCTTTACATCTAATACAGTGTCTCTGTGTGTTTTTGGGGGTTGATGCAGCTGTGGGACCAGGCTGGTGGGAAAACTGATCGTAACAAACCATAGTTGTGGAAAATCTTATCAGATTTCTCTTCAGTTCTAGTTGATTTGATAATTAGGTTTCCCAGCTAATACTTGCATGCTAGCTAACATACTAGGGACTGCTCTAAGAGTACTTTTCATACATTATTAACTCATGTGATTCTTCCAACCCTCCTATGAGGCTGACATTATTCTCATTCTCATTATACAAATGAAGAAACTGAAGCCCACAGAAGAGGGTTTATTTACTCACCTAAAGCTTCAGTTGTAAGTACAAACCTTTGTACTCTGGATCCACAACCCACCGTGAATCGTACCTCTAATGATAAGACCATAAAGGACACAGAGGCTAGCTATTTTTCCAGATCACCTGTGAAAAACTTTGATAAATACTGCCATGGAAGTCCCTCTTATTTACTTAAATTTCTAAGTAAAATTCTTTGTGAAATTCTAGGCATTGCAAAAAGGCAAAAACCAGAAATGAAGCATCATTATTTTAAAGGAAGCAGGTGGAGCTCTGTAAGTTCCAGGCCAGTCTGTTTTACCCAGTGGGTTCTAAGCCAGCCAAAACTGCACAGTGAAGGCCTGTCTCAAAAAAACAACCAAACAACCAAACCAAACCAATCCAGGCAATAACAAAAAGGTGGCACACTTGTTGAATGCATTCCTTTGGTTGTTTCAAGCCATTTCCCGGAGTTTGACTCTCTGACCTACTTTTTCCACTTCTAGGAAATCTATTTCAATACAGAAATGTTCTGATTGGTAATGGATACTTTTTATACAACATTATTCAATTACAGAAAGTTTGAAGCCACTTAAGTGTACACTGTTAGGAGGATAGACTATAAGGGAGCTCTGAAAATCATTCTTTCACGGGACTTGTCTGACATGGCAAATAATGCCAACTTCTAAAGTCTGACATGGCAAATAATGCCAACTTCTAAACATAATCAATCAGATAGAAAATTCCTTTAAAGCACATGATGTCTACATGGACCCGTTAGCCAAAACACAGAGCGACAGTAACACCAAGTGCTTGACTTCAAGGTATTGGACTAATTCTTCACAAGCATTTGTTTTCTTCACATGCCATTTTTAAGTTTCTGAAGTACACATCACTTGTACAATAACAAAGACCTTAAAATTAATAGCTTCCTGTAAACACAGCCATCTCAGGCTATTGTGAATTGCAATCTATGTTGTAATAAAGCAAATGCCACTGACATTACAGATGCAGAATAAAACCCAGAGAACTTCAGCCTTCTAACTATCAAGCACTTATCATCCATAAAACCACCATGTGGTCACTGTAATCAGTATGCTTGGATCATCTCTCATGAACACAATTACCAACTTATATGGTATAGCTATGCCTAATCTCTTCAGTTGCCCAGAGAACAGCACACGTTACTCCTTGTCCTTGCTTATCTCTCTGCCAGGCTTGACTTGTACTTCTAATCAGGCAGTTATTTTTTTCTCAAGGCTGCCTTCTTAAGGGTTTGAACTGGGCCTCTTTTGTCAATCACCCTGCCTGCAAAGATCCAGGCCAGAATACCACTTAGCTTTCCTTCAGATGGAGTATGAGCTAAGGACAAACTGTAAATGATGGGAGAGATGGATGTGGAGACTACAGGCTGGGAAGGAACCCAGGGGTGGGGCCTGCTTCTTATCAGAAAAGAAAACAGAAACAGAGCGAGATATAACACGCAAGATTAGGAACTAGCAAAAAGCTGAGATGCACATGCGAGGTGATTCTAGAATACACCACATTGGCCCCACCCAAGATTAAGGCCTTCCAGAGGACTCTAGCCTTCAGTTCCCTCTAAACACCCAGGAGGCTGGGACTCTGAACTTCAGAGCAACTGAACACACTGAGCAGAAAGACAGCAGGAAAACAGAAAGACAAGCTCATTAGTGCAGCTTCCATTTTGGATTCTGTCATTGATTTTATGGAAATTTTCAGTGTAAACTTTAAGTAATGTAGGAAGCAATTTTCCAGAATTATCACATTTGTAATTTGAAGTCTGGTACCCTTAACAGCAACCCCTCCCCCCCAAAATGAACAAGAGAATAGTTCCATAATGAAAAATTAAAATGACTCCAATATGTTTTACAGTTGTCAACTGTAATTCTCTTCTAGATATTGTATGCCTAAAAACAGTTCTATGTAACATTGCATAGATTTTAAAATTTCATTTGCAGGTTGTAAAGAAACCTAGAAAACAGGCTTTCTGATAGACTGTTGCCAAAATATGATGGATCACAAAAGTTTTCAGTGTCGTTGGGTTGGGCTGTACCAATTCTGACTTGCTGATAAGAGGTTCCCAGGTACAGATAGGTAAGAGTTCAGGTGTTTTCTTCATGATTGTGAGAGCTTAGTGTACACAGGCAAATGATGTAGTAACGTGTAAGGAGCACAGAAAAATGAAATTTCATGACACAATAAAGGAAGCAGGCATGTAATAGGGTATCTCTTTCCTAGAATGTATTTTTAATTTTTGTTGAATCCTTTTTCTTAGTTCTATTAACAGTTTCACAATGTCCATGGCATGGTGTTGGTAAAATCCAGAGGCACTTAAGGCAAGTATTTCACTTATGCCGGTACAACCATTTGTACATTTACTTTTGGGAAAGTTTTAGTGGCTGTCTTTTCCAGTTGAGCAACTAAGGTAAGAGGAAATCAAGACCTTATCTACTTTGTCAAGCATGGCACAGTTAAATAGAAATGCCACCAGAAAGAGAACCAGTAAGAAGATCTCCTAGCTACCAATTCTTTGATTGTCACTAGCTCCTATATTGTCACAAAGATGAACAATTACTCTCCATATGGTGAATAAGCCCAAAGCCACACAGCACTGTATTTGTTTCTTAAGCAATGTGTTAAAATGTTTTTATTTTACTAATGTATTTAGTTATTTATTTAGTGATGTTAGTTTTCGAAAATGTGAGAGAAAAGGACAAATGGGGAGTGATGACAAGAGACAGGTTTTAATTGATTATTCAAACAGTATAGGCTTGCTTATGAGATTTCTAAAGGTCTGCTTCTAGGGAGGATTTCTGAGTAGCTAACTATTGTAACTGAACGTAAAAAAAAAAAAAAAAAAAAAAAAAAAAAAAAAACGTCCCACGTAGAATTCAATTTTTACATTCAAAATGAGATCAAATTCAGAGAACTTACAAAGTACCTAGTTTCTCTCTATTATGTCTGGCCTCTTAGTAAAGCCTCCTTTGCTATGGTGCTCACAGAAAGCAATTTTCTGTTTTCACTTCTAAAATGAAGTTGAGCTCTGCTCGCTGGTGCTGTGAAACTTGCTCCGGGGAGAGTCCCGGTGTCCCCGGGACTCCGACACACGCTTCCCCACCCGCTGAGCCGGCCGGCCGCCCACACCGTCCAGGGCGCGTGCAGTGTGCTCTGAAGCCGAGCGAGCCGAGGGCCCACGTAGCACAAGTTGCCGGCTGTTTTCAGGTGAGGCACCGGAGGGCATGTCCACCGAGCCCGGCCCCGCCCGTCAACCGCTCGCCGCGTGCCCGGCCGCCTGCCCCGCGGCCCGCGCTCACCTGCTCGCCCTCGTCCTGCAGCCGCCTGCGCCGCGGGCTCGCCCGGGGCTCCCGCTCCTCTGCCCGCTCTGCCGGCGCCGCCCCGTCCTCGTCGCGCTCCCCGCCGCCGGCGCCGCCCCGCAGCACCTCCCCGGCCGAGCACATCCCGCCGCCGGCACCGACCGTTCGCACGGCCGCCGCTGGCCACACCGGGACGCCGCTCGAGAGCGCCCAGCACAGATGTGAACCCCAGAAGCGCGCCCACCGGCCTGGGCGCCAGAAGTGCAGGAGCCGCCGGCCCCTTCTGTCAGCCGCTCGCCCCGCCCCCAGATCGGGGGCGGAGCCCTCCGGGGGCGGGGCCACATGGGAGGGGCGGGGTCGAGGCGGGCTGCTGTCCAATGGAGGCGGGACTTGGTTGGGTGGGCAGGACTCTGGGAGGGCGGAGCCAGGGAGGGGCGGAACCAAGGAGTGTTGTAGCTTTATCTCTGAAACTGCATGAAAGAGACTATGAAAGAAGCCATAGGTGTTTACGGGAGATTGTGTGTGTCTGACAGGTTATTAATGTATAGAGAGCTTCTGTGTAATTGTGTTAATAACTATCTGTACACAACAGACATATTCTGTGTGGTGTGCCGTGCCGTGTGTGTGTGTGTGTGTGTGTGTGTGTGTGTGTGTGTGTGTGTGTGAGAGAGAGAGAGAGAGAGAGAGAGAGAGAGAGAGAGAGAGAGAGAGAGAGAGACAGTGAGACAGAACACAGAAAGAGATGAGAGAGTGGGCAAGGAAGCTGTAAGAAACACTGCAACAGACTACTACAACTGCCTGGGGATGGCTTGAAGGAGGCTGTGTCTGACTAGCTATTAATGTATATGACAGTCCCTGTGAAACTGTGTGTCTGTGAATAAGTATATACAACATACTGAGCTGTTTATACTGTTTGTGCCTGTGTATGAGAGACAGTGTCAGAAAACGGGATTTGTGTTGTGAGAAAGCCTGTGTGAGAAGCATCGTAACACTGGGGGACACGAAACTAAAATATCAGGTTCTTGTGCTTGCCTTTTATCTGTGCACTGAGACTGCACAGAAGGAGGTAATATGAAAGAGGCCATTAGATGCATGAGATTGTATCTGACGGAGTACTACGAAAGCCAGTGTGTAATTGTGTGCCTGTGACAGACTTCTATCTCCATGCAACAGATTGTGGAAGACTGTATACTGGTCTATTGTGATAGTATGGAAGATCACGATGTTGAACGTCTCTGTGAGAATATAGGTATAAAGGAGAAGGCAACAGAGAAGCTCCATGTGAGAGCGGAGCTGTGTGTGTACGTGAGTGCATGTAAGAGGTCTTGTGAGTGTGAAAGACAGAACAAGAACATACTGCCATACTCCTGCAGCAGGCACTGGGGTGTGTCTGGAGATGTTGATGGCTGCTTGTCCTTTGCAAGCAACGCAGGATCTCTGTCATTTTCTTCTCTCATTTTGTCTCTTCCCCCTAAGCGCCTCTCTGTGTGCCTGTGCCTGTTTCTCTCTGCTTCCTGGTGTGTGTTGCTTGTTGGGGCCCTGGGATCATTTAGTGATCTGTCTGCCATTATGTATATGTCTAGAAATTATTTAAAAAGACTACCAGTGACAAGGGAAGCAAGCCTATTTATTTTCCCTTTTCTTACTAGCCCATCTACATAAGGGCAAACTGAGGGACGTACGTGAAACTAAAATATCAAGTTCTTGTGCTTGCCTTTTATCTGTGCATTGAGAAAAAGGTTATGGTGTAGATGGAATATCAGACTGTCAATGGAAATTATTTCCATATTTAATGCATAGGTCTGGAGATGAATAAGTCATTTGGGAATCCTCTTTTAAAATGTCTTCAGGCCTAGGAATGAAACAGGCAGGAATTCTCAGGCTTGTTTTAAATATTTGTTTCCTTTGGGGTTATCAGGAGATGGATTCTTTTATACTTTTGCTCACACCTAACTCACACTATCTCTCTTGTGTACACATCATCTCACATAAATATAGTTTCTTATACAAAGTCCATTTGCCACAGTTTATAATGTAACCCAGTTTCTCTCTTACACAGTCTCTCACAAATCCTTTCATAGTTTCTCCCAAACAAACACTCTCCCTGAAGGGAAAAAAAAAAAAAAAAAAAAAAAGCTTTAGACATCATGAACGAGAAAGAAACTGAATCTGTTTTAATGTCTGTCTTATAGGACTTTAAAATTTTATATGACAGTAATTAATGTTATATGTACATAAGCAGAAGTTAATGTCACCCTGTTTGGAAACAGGAAGGTGTCTAGTGGGAGGATGGGAGGTGTGTGTGTGTGTGTGTGTGTGTGTGTGTGTGTGTGAATGTGATCGAAATACATTATATGCATATATAAAAATGTCATGATAAATCCCACTATCCTGTATAATTATCAAAAATGGAGAAAAAAATGTCACCTAAAAAACTCAAGCATCTGTGATGAGTCTCATTCATTTTGTCTATTAGCAACATTTTAGCTCATTTTTGAAATTTTGTTTTGGCTATTGTTCCTTATAAAGAAACAATGTTTTATTTAACAACTAAATCTTACTGAAAAAACAAGTCTAGGATTATATGTGGTGACAAAGAGAACATTAGCCTTTATTGTCACCCCTGTGAACTTAAGACATTGTGTCTGTCCTTGGCGTGCCTCCATTAATGAAGCGAGTCCAGCAGCTAAGCCCTGGTCAGTTAGGTACAGAATGAACAGAAACTTCTTGAGTATGTGAGCACAGAATGCATACAGATGGATTCATGAAAGCATACAGACCTTAGCTTGTTCAGCAGATGAGTCCTTTAGAACACACTGTCTGGTTTTTCTATCAATGTTTTCTCCTCTTCCTCCTTGTTTTTCAAGACAAGGTCTTGCTTGTGAAACAGGAGCTGGCCTTCAACTGAAATCTCTCCTGCCTCTGCCCCCAAAAGGCTGAAAATGTAGGTGTATGCCTACATGCCTGACTCAGGCTCCTTCATTCTTTGAGAATTCTTATTGAAGGCTAGGAGGCACTGAGCTCAGAATATAGCCCTTCTCTCAAGAAACTTCCATTTTAAACACTTCATTCTAGTACGCTTGTTTTGGCCAAAGTAAAAATAAAAATATAAAAAAATCTTTCACCAAGGCATGAGCAGATTTCTATGTTAGTAGTCTTTTCCTATAGTATACATTTGGTTCTTTGTTTGTTTTTGTTTTTTGGAAATGATATGCTTTTGTTCCCAAGAGTCTGATTTTCTTAGAGACGCAGAGAATCATATCTTTCTACAAACATAATAATAGTATCTACACAAGACATTATTCAGATTAAATCTTAGACCATACACTTTAAAGTGCATTTTATAGGAAGAGTGAGCTATTTTTACTCTCTGAGCCATATGAGTAACATCTAAAGAAAGCTATCAGCCACTTGCCCGTGGGAAATATAAGGCTGTTATTACCTAGGCAACCACAACATGTCAGATTGCAATTGTATTCGTATATTTACCTGTTTCTCCAGGAATTAAGTGGCACTGTATAAGGAGTGTCCTATGCAGTGCTATAGGGCCTATGCAGTTCCTCTAAGAATGGGTTTCATATCACACCACCACCCCTCTTATACTTTATTTTTAATGCTCCTTCATTCACTTCATTTGCTCACCTTTCCATGGGGAAGAATGAACAAGTGGTCATGATCCAGTTATCCACAGCATTATTCTTCTCTTTGGGAAGAAATGCAGCTAGCCCAGCCTTCATTCTGTTTGGTTGTTGGCACACTATGGTGTTATTTTATTATAGTTCTTCAGTATTTTCCCTTTGCTCCTCACATAATTTGATTCTGCTTATTTCTTCTTTCCCAGAACCTTCAGAATGAGGGGTCAGTTTTGAACTGTTTGAAATTGGAGGTAGAACTTCAAACACCCCTAGTTTTCTCTTGATGTATGTGAATTTAAAGGAAAATGTGTATATTGGTAAATTTTCACATTGCTTTGAATTCCTGCAGATAAAGGCAAGTAAGTGTCAGAGTTAGCTATTGTCAACTTGACACAGCCTACATATTCCTGAGAAGAGAGAATTGCGATCAAATCAGATTGGCCTGTGGGCATGGCAAGCCTATATGGCATTTTCTTAATTTCTAAGTGATGATGGGGGATCCAGTTCGCTGTGTGGAGCTATTCCTGGGCAGATGGACCCAGGCTGCGTAAGAAAGGTGGCAGACAAAGAAAAGCCAGAGAGAGTGGCATCCTTAGGTCTCTGTTTTAGTTCCTGCCTTGAATTCCTGCCCTGATTTCCCTCAATGATGAACTGTGTCTTGTAGGTCAAATACAAATTCTTTCTTCTAGAAATTGCTCTTGGTCATGCTGTTTATCCAAAGTAGCAGAAACAAACTGGAAAGGTGGGTCAGGGATTCAGATTATCTATGCAAGAACGTCAGTTGTCTGGGGAGAAAATTTGCCCTTCCTCTTGGAATTAATTCACATCCTCTGTTCTCTTTCTTTTCTTTGGTATGGGACTTCTCTCTCCCCGCCCTGTTGATTTCTTTCCATGGACTAGGAATGCAGTAGTCACGGCTGGTGGGAGTGGGAGGAAAGAAGCACGAGGAAGCTGTCAAACTCACTAGTAGAGAGAGACAGGGAGAGGAGGAAAAGGAAAAGGAACCAATCACAAACTCAACATCTGTCTGCTGTCTTTAATATAGGTAATGTTTTCAGGTGATAGCTGTGCAAACTGATGACATTCTTAGGACAGTACACACTCACCTATAAAGTAGCCCATTGCTCACTAAGTCCAGGCAGAAGCTAGTTCAAAAGGGTGTATCCTGGACAAAAAGGAGGTTTATTCATAAGGGAACAAAGCCATTAGATAGGAGGAGTAAGCGCTCCTTTCATATATTGTAATGACCACTGTTAATAACACTCAATTATGCACTTCAAAGTGGCTGAACACACTCATTTAAGAGGCTCTAGTCATAAAAAATGGCTCTGGATATGTTGATTAACTTGACATAATAACTCTATGATACCATAAGTCAAAATGTCATATTGCTTCATGAGTGAATGTAATTGTTACCTGTCAAACATAAAAAATTTTAGAAGTGCTTTAAAATTATTTGTATAAAATGTTCAAGTAGAACTATTGCCTAAAATAATGTTTTATGGTGAACAATTAAACAATATAAGGTAAGTGGGAGATTGCAATGGAAGACTGTTGGGTTTGGAAGAATATTCCTATAATCCTTGCACTTAGGTGATGGAGGCAGAAAGATGGAGGGTTCAAGGCCAGCTTGGGCCATACAGTGAGTTTGGTTACCACACA